GCTGCCGGCTATAATCCTAGCACTTTGGGAGGCAAAGGTGGGCAGATTACCTGTGGTCAGGAGTTTGAGACCAGCCTGGCTAACACGGCAAAACCTCATCTTTACTAAAAACACAAAATTAGCCGGCTTTGTTGGTGTATGGTGTGTGCCTGTAGTCCCAGCTACTCGGGAGGCTGAGGCCAGAGAATCGTTTGAACCTGGGAGGCAGAGGTTGCAGTGAGCTGAGATTGTGCCACTGCACTCCAGCCTGGGTGACAGAGGGAGACTCTGTCTCAAAAAAAAAAAAAAAAAATCTTGGATTTCTTTTATGTTGTTGTTTTGAGACACTGAGGTGGCATGCAGTGACACAATCTCAGCTCACTGCAATCTTGACCTCCTGGGCTCAGGTGATTCTCCCGAGTCATCCTCCCGAGTAGCTGGCACACGCCACCGCCTCTGGCTAACTTTTTAATAGAGTTGGAGTTTGACCATGTTGCCCAGGCTGGTCTTGAACTCCTGGACTCAAGTGATCAGCCTGCCTCGGCCTCCCAAAGTGCATATGCTGGATTTCTAACACAGTGCCAAAAAGAGAAAACAAACTGTTTCACTAATAATGTTTCCACTGATTGCCATGTCGAAACAATGCTTCCGGTATGTTGGGATAAATAAAATATTTGTTGAAATTAGCTTCTTGTATTTCTTTTTACCTTTTTAATGTGGCTACTAGAAAATACAGTGCCACATGTGGCTCACACTTGATTTCTGTGGAACAGCACTGTCCTACAACAGTGCTATCTGACAGGACTTACTGCAATGATGAAAGGTTCTCTACCTGCACCATCCAGTACAAGGACCAGCAGTGGCTCAGGCCTGCGATTATTATAATACATCATTTTGCAATGCTGTGACCAGAGGACTGCTTGACGCCAGGAGTTCAAGACCAGCTTAGGCAACGTAGTGAAAGGCGATATCTACTAAAATGACAAATATTAGCTAGGTGTGATGGCACATGCCTATAGTTGAGTTAGAGGTTACACTGAGTTATGATCCGGCCACCATGCTGCTGTACTCCAGCCTGGGTGACCATGCAAGACCCTGTCAAAAAAAAAAAAGGTGGCGTACGCCTGTAATCCAGTACTTTGGGAACCTAGGTAAAAGGATGGCTTGAGCTCAGGAGTTCGAGGACCAGCCTGGGCAACATAGTGAGATCTTATTTCTACTAAAAAAAAATTAATTGAGTATGGTGGCATGAGCTGGTAGTCCCAGCTACTCGGGAGATTGAGGCAAGAGGGTCACTTGAGTCTGTGAGGTTGAGGCTGCATTGAACCATGATTGTGCCACTGTACCCCAGCCTGGATAACAGAGCAAGACCTTGTCTCAAAAAAAAAAAGAAAAGAAAAAAAGATAGTTGGGCGTGGTGGGTCATGCCTGGGCCAAATGGCTAATGCTTGTAATATCAGCACTTTGGGAGGCCGAGGTGGGTGGTATCACTCAGGTGATCAGGAGTTTGAGACCAGCCTGGCCCATATGGTGAAACTCCCATCTCTATTAAAATACAAAAATTAGCTGGCCATGGTCGTGGGTGCCTGTAATCTCAGCTACTCGGGAGGCTGAGGCAGGAGAATTGCTTGAATCTGGGAGGCGGAGGTTGCAGCGAGCCAAGATCGTGCCACTGCACTCCAGCCTGGGCAAGAGAGTGACATTCCAGCTCCAAAAAAAAAAAAAAAATATATATATATATATGATAGCCACTAGCCACATGGGGCTATTAAGAGCTGGAAATGTGGCTGGTACAACTGAGAAACTAAGCTTTTATTTATTTATTTAAACCTTTAAGTTTTTTGTAGAGATGGGATCTCACTAAATTGCCCAGGCTGGTCTCAAATGCCTGTGCTCAAGTGATCATCCTGCTTTGGCATAAGCCACTGAGCCTGGTCTAATTTTTTTTTTTTTTTTAGAAATGAGTTCTCACTACGTTGCCTAGGCTTGCTCTACTTTCTGGAATGGAGTTGTCTCCATAAGTTATTTGCAATACTGCATGGGAGATTTGCCTCTTCTCCCCACTTTATTGAATTATTTATTTATATCAGTAGGGACTGGCAGATATTTCTCTATCTATTTATTTATTTATTTTTTGAGATGGAGTTTGCTCTTGTTGCCCAGACTGGAGTGCAGTGGTGTGATCTTGGCTTACGGCAACCTCCGCCTCCCAGGTTCAAATGATTCTCCTGCCTCAGCCTCCTGAGTAGCCGAGATTACAGGTGCCCACTACCACACCTGGCTAATTTTTTGTATTTTCAGTAGAGACAGGGTTTCATTATGTTGGCCAGGCTGGTCTCTAACTCCTGACCTCACATGATCCACCCGGCTTGGCCAAAGTGCAGGGATTACAGGTGTGAGCCACTGCGCCCAGCCTATTTATGTTTTGAGACAGAGTCTTGCTGGATATTTATTTATTTATTGAGATGGAGTTTGCTCTTGTTGCCCAGACTGGAGTGCAGTGGTGCAATCTCTGCTCACTACAATCTCAACCTCCTGGGTTCAAGTGATCCCCATCTCAGGCTCCCGAGGAACTGGGACCTCAGGTGTGCATCACCACTTCTGGCTAATTTTTGTATTTTTATTAGAGACCAGGTTTTGCCATGTTGCCTAGGCTGGTCTGGAACTCCTGACTTCAAGCGATCTGCCTGCCTTGGCCTCCCAAAGTGCAGGTATTACAGTCCTGAGCTATCGCACCTGATCGAATTTTTTATTTTTTATTTGTTTGAGACAGAGTCTTGCTCCATGCTGGAGTACAGCAGCACCAGCTCGGCTTACTGTGTTGTCCAGGCTGGTCTTGAACTCCTGGGTTCAAGTGATCCACCTGCCTCAGCCTCCCAAAGTGCTGGGGTTACAGGCATGAGTCGCTGCACCCGGCCTTCTTGAGTATTTTTTGCTCCAGTTTTAGAGTCAGCTATTTCTCCAAGGAGCACTGGTTACTTTCATTGGAGAATGATATTAAAAACCAAGATCTAGATGCTAGGTTATGCTCATTGCTACCAGGGTGCACAGACATTTTAATGTATATGTAACATGAAATTTACCGTTTTGACTTTTTTTTTGAGATTGAGTCTTGCTCTGTCACCCAGGGTGGAGTGCAGTGGCGCGATCTCAGCTGACTGTAACTTCCACCTCCCAGGTTCAAGTGATTATCCTGCCTCAGCCTCCTGAGTAGCTGGGATTACAGGCCACATGCCAGGATAATTTTTGTATTTTTGGCAGAGATGAGGTTTTACCATGTTGGTCAGGCTGGTCTTGAACTCCTGACCTTGTGATCCGCCCTCCTTGGCCTTCCAAAGTGCTGGGATTACAGGTGTGAGCCACCATGCCCAGCCTTACTTTTCTTTTCTTTTTTTTTTTTTTTTTTTTTTTTAAGAGACAGAGTCTCCCTCTGTCAGGCTGGAGTAAAGCGGTATGCTCATAGCTCATTGCAGCCTCAAACTCCTGGGCTCAGCTGATCCTCTTGCCTTAGCCTCCCCAAGTGTTAGGATTACAGGTGTGAGCCATGGCATTTGGCCTCGATTTTACTATTTTTAAATTTTTATTTTTTTGAGATGGAGTCTAGCTCTATTGTCCAGGCTGGAGTGCAGTGGTATAATCTCAGCTTACTGCAACCTCTGCCTTCTGGGTTCAAATGATTCTCCTGCCTCAGCCTCTCAAGTAGCTGGGACTACATGCATGTGCCACCATACCCAGCTAATTTTTTTGTATTTTTATTAGAGATGGCCTGAATGGGATTCAAAAATTTTTTATTTGAGTCATAGTCTCACTCTGTCACCCAGGCTGGGGTGCAGTGGCCGGATCTTGGCTGACTGCAAACTCTGCCTCCCGGGTTCAAGCAATTCTTGAGTGTCAGCAGCCTCAGAGTAGCTAGGATTAAAGGTGTATGCCAAAATGGCTGGCTAATTTTTGTGTTTTTAGTAGGAATGGCGTTTTGCCATGTTGGGTAGGCTGGTCTTGAACTCCTGGCTTCAAGTAATCTGCCTTCCTTGGCCTCCCAAATTGCTGAGATAAGAGGCGTGAGACACCTTGCCTGTTTTTTTTTTTTTTTTTTTTTTGAGACAGACTCTCACTGTGTCATCCAGGCTGGCATGCAGTGGTGCAATCTCGACTCACTGCAACCTCCGACTCCTGGGTTCAAGCAATTCTTCTGCCTCAGCCCCCCAAGGAGCTGGGACCACAGGCGCCCACCACCGTGCCTAGCTAATTTTTGTATCTTCAGGGTTTTACTATGTTGTTGGCTAGGCTGGTTTTGAATTCCTGACCTCGTGACCCACCCACCTTGGCCTCCAAAAATGCTGGGATTACAGGCGTGAGCCACCGCAGCCCGGCTGTTCCGGTTTAACTATTAAGTGACATTAGGTAGATTCACATGGTTGTGAAACCATCTGTGTTATCTATCTCCGGAACTTCTTCATCATCCCAAATTGAACCACTGTATCTATTAAACAATAACTTGCTATCCTCCTAACACCCACGGCGGACCCTGGTAATCGCTATTCTACTCTCCAACTATGAATTTGACTGTCCTAGGTCCTTCATATAAATGGAACCATACATTATGTGTCCTCATGCTTCTTTCACTTAGCATGTCTTCTAGGTTCATCCACAATGTTGTAGCAATTAGAATTCCATTCCTTTTTAAGGAGGAATAGTATTCCATTGCATGTACTGTACATACAGCTCGTGTGTGTGTGTGTTTAAAACATAGGGGTCTTGCTCTGTTGCCCAGGCTGAACTTGAACTCCTGGCTTCAAACCTCACGACTCAGCCTCCCCAATAGCCGAAACTACAGATGCCCTCCACCGTCCGTGGCTAGCATCTATTTTCAAATATAAAAATTTAAAATATAGATGTTGCTTTTTTTTGGCTCAATGATACATTTTTATTATTTATTAATTTTTTTTTTTTGAGACGGGCCTGTCGCCATGCTGGAATGTAGTGGCGCGATCTCGGTTCCCTACAACCTCCGCCTCCAGGGTTCAAGCGATTCTCCTGCCTCAGCCTCCCGAGTAGCTGGGACCACAGTCAACCACCAACACTCCGGGCTAATTTTTTGTATTTTTAGTAGAGACGGGGTTTCACCGTGATAGCCAGGATGGCCTCGCTCTCCTGACCTCGTGATTCGCCATCCCCGGCTTCCCGAAGTGCTGGGATTGCAGGCGTGAGCCACCGCGCCTGGCCACGTGAATAAAGTTTTAAACGAAAAGCAAACAGGAAACTAGCGTCGGCGGCGAATCTGCAGCTACCAATGTAAAGGTCGGGTCGCGGCCGGCGCGGAGAATCTGCCGTCGCCTGCAGCCGCTCGCTCGTCTCGGTGGGAAGGTAGCTCCAGCTTTGCTGAGGTGAGTGGAAGCGGCTCGGAGGGAGCGGGAGTCAGGCTGGAGAGAAGGAAGAGGGAATGCGGCCTGGACACTGTGCCCGCGCTTGTGTGGGCCGCCATGTTGAAACCTGGCAAAGGGGACGACATTCTGGGTTGCGTTGCCAGAAGCGGAGACGAGGGCGGGGCTGGAAGGATAGCCCCTTCCTCCCTGCGGCCCCCACAAAAGGAGAGGGGCGGGGAGCGGCCTTGAGGGTCGGCGGGCACGGTGGAGGCTGGATGGGGAGGATGGGCTTTTCCATAGAGACTTCCGTGTTTGCCTCCGAGGCCCACTGCGCATGCCCTGGAGGGCTCTGTGGGTCCCGCCTTCGGTTTTGCTTCCCGCAGGAGCGGTAAAGTCTTACTCTGATGACCCTGGAAGGAGAGGCTTAATCCCTCCCTGCCCCCTCCGCAAGAGACAGGGAGTCGCCCAGGATAGAGCAGTGGCGTGATCTTGGCTCACTGCAGCCTCGACATCCCGGGTCAAGCGATTCTTCTGTCTCAGCCTCCCAAGTACCTGGGACCATAGGCGCGACCCCACGCCCAGAAAATTCATTGATTGGTTGAAATGGGGTCTCACTTTGTTGCCCAGGCTGGTTTCGAATTTCTGGCCTCAAGCGATCCTCCCGCCTCGGCCTCTCAAAGTGCTGGTGTTACAGGCCACTGCGTGCCTGGCCAAAATTTTTCTAAATTTGTATAGTAATTTGTAATTGTAAAGTATTTTCATAGACATTATCTAATCTTAACAAAAACCTAGTTAAGTGACATTTAGCTACATTTCACAATAAGAATCCTGAAGCTCAACATTTACTGAGCTCAAATGATCCACCGGACTCGGCCTCCCAAAGTGCTGGGATTACAGGTGTGAGCCACCCCGCACCTGACCCCCACTCTGCATTTCTGCTCTCATCTCCTGTTGATGAATAAAGTGAGAAAATGAGGCTGGGTGCCGTGGTTCACACCTGTAATTTCAGCACTTTGGGAGGCTGAGGCAGGCGGGTCACCTGAGATCAGGAGTTGGAGACCAGCCCGGCCAACATGGTGAAACCCTTTCTCTACTAAAAAAACCAAAATTAGTCGGGTTTGGTGGTGCGCACCTGTAATCCCAGCTATTCGGAGGCAGAGGCAGGAGAATAGCTTGAATCCGGGAGGCGCAGGTTGCAGTGAGCCAAGATTGGGCATTGCACTCCAGCCTGGGTGACAGAGGGAGACTTTGTCTCAAAAAACAACCAACCAAAAAAAAAGAATGTAAAAATCGAAGGAGATTGTTGTAGGAAATCTCAACCTAATGCTGCAGGGGAGGAAGGGCACCTAGAAAGACTGAGAAACAATGAAACCAGCGGTTAGTATCTATAGAAGCATACAGATGAGAGAGAGAACAAAATCCATTCTTACCCCTTTATAATTATCTTCCATTTTAATTTGAAGAAGTCTTAAAGCTTTGAACAGGAGGTCTGTGTACAATAATATCAGTTTTAGTTGGTAGACCCTTGTGACTTTTTTTATTTGAAATGGAGTCTCTCTCTGTTGCCCAAGCTTGAGTGTCGTGGGGTGATCTCCACTTACTGCAACCTCTGCCTCCCAGGTACAAGTGATTCTCTGTCTCAGTGTCCCAAGTAGCTGGGATTACAGGTGTGCACCACCACACCTGGCTAATTTTTATATTTTGGATAGAGACGGGGTTTCACAATGTTGGCCTCAAACTCCTGACTTTAAATTATCTGCCCGTCTCTGCCTCCCAAAGTGTTAGGATTACAGGCGTGAGCCACCGCCCCTGGCCCTTTGTGACTTTTTAATGTTGAATGGGGAGGGGTTCTTTTCCTTCAGTGGAGGAGGGGTGGATCTCAGCCTCAGACACCCAGAATACTAGGTTATGTGTTTCTTTTAACCATCTGTATCTCCAAAGCCTTGTATTTTATGAAAAGCATCAGAGGAAATGATGAAGAGCTCCATCTCGAGTCCATACTGCCCCGGTTCTAACTCCTCCACTGGTCTACTTCTTAGCTTTAGGATTTGAGACAAAAGACTGCCGTTTTGTGTCTGACCTTTCTCATCTGAAATGGTAATAATAATATTATTCCTAAGTACTGGTACTGTTGAGAAGTGAGGGAGTTAAGAGGCTATTACAGGCTGGGTACAGTGGCTCACACCTGTAATCCCAGTGGGAGGCTGAGGCAGGAGGATAGCTTGAGCCCAGGAGTTCAAGACCAGCCTATGCGATATAGTGAAACCCCATCTCTACAAAACAAAAAAAACAACAAAAAAGACAGCTAGGTATGGTGGCGCATAGTGAGTAATCCCAGGTACTCACGAGGCTGGGGCGGGAAGATTGCTTGAGCCCAGGAGGTTCAGGCTGCCTCATGACTGTGCCACTGTACTCCAGCCTGGGCAACAGAGCCACACCCAGTCTCAAAAAAAAAAGCTTAGTACAGTGGTTGGCACCTCCTACATGTTCAGTGCAATTTAGCTATAATTATAGTCCTTTATTCTGCCACCAGGTGATGGAGGTGGGGGAGTAAGATTAAACTCCTAAGAATTTTAGGCCCAGTAGAATGAGCTCTTTATAGAGAATACCAGCACAGGAATTCTCTTTAGTAGAGACGCAGTTTCACCATGTTGTCCAGGCTGGTCTCAAACTCCTGACCTCATGATCTACCTGCCTCGGCCTCCCAAAGTGCTGGATTATAGGTATGAGCCACCTGCCTTGGCCTTTTTTTTTGAGACGGAGTTTCGCTCCTGTTACCCAGGCTGGAGTGCAATGGTGCGATCTTGGCTCACTGCAACCTCCGCCTCCTGGGTTCAGGCAATTCTCCTGTCTCAGCCTCCCGAGTAGCTGGGATTACAAGCACGTGCCACCACGCCCAGCTAATTTTTTGTATTTTTAGTAGAGACGGGGTTTCACCATGTTGACCAGGATGGTCTCGATCTCTTGACCTTGTGATCCACCCACCTTGGCCTCCCAAAGTGCTGGGATTACAGGCTTGAGCCACTGTGCCCGGTGGCCTTTTTTTTTTTTTTCAGTAGATGACAGGGTCTCACCATGTTGCCGAGGCTTGATCTTGAACTCCTGGGCCCAAGGGATCCTCCTGTCTTAGCCTTTCAAAGTGCTGGGATTACAGGTGTGAACCACCATGCCCGGCCTCTTCTTTTTTACACATGGAGAAATTCTAGCCATGAGAGAAGACACAAACTGAGTTAGGGCCAAAGCCCAGACTAGGGCTGAAATTGTCTCCCTCTCATCCTATGCTCCTTCTGTCACTCCATCTGTTTTTCATTCTTTACTGACAGCAGAGAGGCAGCCTCTGCAAAGTTGTTTGTTGATGATGACAGAAATATTGCCCTCCTTTTACCACGTGGTGGTTAACGGTGTAATGTCCTGCTTCTTGATTCTCAATGAAATGATCAGGTTTGCCTGATTTGGACTAAAAAAAGTTCTATGATCTTCTTTTTTGGGACAGGGTCTTGCTATGTCACCCAGGCTGGAGTGCAGTGGCACGATCTCGGCTCACTGCAACCTCTGACATTCCTGGGTTTAAGTGATTCTCCTGCCTCAGCCTCCCAAGTAGCTGGGATTACAGGCACCCACCACCACGCCCAGCTAATTTTTGTATTTTTAGTAGAAATGGGGTCTCACTATGTTGGGCAGGCTGGTCATGAACTCCTGACCTCATGATCTGCCCACCCCTGCCTCCCAAAGTGTTCTTATTACAGGCATGAGCCACTGCGCCTGGTCATTTCTATGATTTTCAATTGAAGTTGGTTCAGTTCCCCAGCATTTATCAGAAAGCATCCTAGGATCTGGAGGTATCGCTGAAGAGTGTTTACTGTGTGTTGGGCAAAGCATGATCAGAACTTAAGAAGGTTCATCGAGCTGTGGCAGAGACACAATTGCTTCATAGTGGAGGGAGCTGAAGCTTGACTTCACAGGCGCAGTAGAATTTTTGAAAGTGGGTGGGAGGGAAACAGAAAGGGAGAGGAAATTCCCAGCAGAGGAAATCATACTGAGATGTTTGCACAAATGGTTGAGGCCAAAAAGAAAGAAAAATTGTACTGGGAAAGAATGGGGCTGGGGAATTAGGGCACATTCAAGGAGGGAGGAGCTAGCCTGTGTAGTTTACAAACAGGGTTTGTGTCTGTTGAAAGGATCAGGAAAAAATAAAAAAGAATAGATTTTTTTTTTTTTGAGATGGAGTCTCACACTGTTGCCTGGGCTGGAGTGCAATGGTGTGATCTTGGCTTGCTGCAACCTGCGCCTCCCAGGTTCACGTGATTCTACCGCCTCAGCCTCCTGAGTAGCTGGGATTATAGGTGCCTGGCTAATTTTTTGTATTTTTAGCAGAGACGGGGTTACACTGTTTGGCCAGACTGGTCTCAAACTCCTGACCTCATGATCCACCTGCCTTGGCCTTCCAAAGTGCTGGGAAGAATATGTTTTATGATGGGACATGGTGAGAAACTAAGTGAGGGTCAGAGGTCTTTTTTTTTCCCCCTTCTTCTGAGACAGAGTCTTGCTCTGTTGCAGAGGCTGGAGTGCAGTGGCATGGCCTTGGCTCACTGCAACCTTTGCCTCCCAGGTTCAAGCCATTCTCCTACCTCAGTCTCCCGAGTAGCTGGGATTATAGACACATACCACCATGTCCAGCTAATTTTTTGTATTCTTAGTAGATACAGGGTTTCAACCATGTTGGTCAGGCTGGTCTTGAACTCCTGACCTCAAGTGATCCTCCTGTCTTGGCCTCCTAAAGTGCTAGGATTTCAGGCATGAGCCAGCACACCTGGCCTAGGGTGAGAGGTCTTGAGTGCAGTGCCATCAACTTTGGATTTTATTCTGTAGGTGTTTGTTTTCTTTACTGAGGGAAAAAAAAATTCACAGTTCACCAGTAAGTAACCACTCCTCCTATATAACCCATCAACTGAGGAAGAAATAAAGCAGAAAGATCCTTGAGGAAAATTTGAGTAAGAGGAAAAGAGTTACAGATATTTTAATAAATATTATGGAAAGATGCTGTGAGGAATGAGAACTACCGTACATATTTCACAGAAACCTGATTTTTGGTTTTTTGTTTTTGTTTTGAGACAGGATCTCACTCTGTTGCTCAGGCTGGAGTACAGTGGCATGATCAGGGCTCACTGCAGCTTCAACTTCCAAGGCTCAAGCCATCCTCCTGTCTCAGCCCCCCAAGTAGCTGGGACTACAGGTGTGCACTACCATGACTGACTAATGTTTTTTAATTTTAGTAGAGATTTTAGCTCTTGATATGTTGCCCGGGCTGGTCTCCAACTCCTGAACTCCTGAGCTCCTGGCCTCCTAAAGTACTGGGATTTCAGGTGTGAACCACTGTGCTGGGCCAAGATTTTTCTTTTCTTTTTTTTTTTTTTTTTTGGAGACGGAGTCTCACTTAGTCTGTTGCCCAGGCTGGAGTGCAGTGGCATAGTCTTGGCTCACTGCAACCTCTGCCTCCTGGGTTCAAGTGATTCTTCTGCCTCAACATCATGAGTAGCTGGGACTACAGATGCATGTCACTGTACCCAGCTAATTTTTGTATTTTTAGCAGAAACGGGGTTTCACCATGTTGGCCAGACTAGTCTCAAACTCCTTGGCCAGACTGGTCTCAAGCTCCTGACCTCATAATCTGCATGCCTTGGGCTACCAAAGTGCTAAGATTACAGGCATGAATGAGCTACTGCACCTGCCAGCTTTTTTTTAAATTAACCTTTGGGAATTTCTCCAGGAAAGACCTGGTGTGTGTGTGTGTGTGTGTGTGTGTGTGTGTGTGTGTGTGTGTAAACAGAGCCTCGCTTTGTTGCCCAGGCTGGAATGCAGTGGCGTGATCAGCTCACTGCAGCCTCTGCCTCCTGGGTTCAAGCAGTTCTCCTGCCTCTGCCTCCCAAGTAGCTGGGACTACAGGCACACGCTGCCATGCCCTACTAATTTTTGTATTTTTAGTAGAGATGGAGTTTCACCATGTTGGCCAACTGGTCTCAAATTCCTGACCTCAGGTGATCCACCTGCCTCAGCCTCCCAAAGTGCTGGGATTATAGGCATGAGTTACCATGCCTGGCCTTGGTTTTTAGTTTTTAAGTTTTAAGATCTTTTTTTTTTAATTATACTTTGGGCTCTGGGGTACATGTGCACATCCTGTGTTTAAGATCTTTTTAAATAAAAAATATTTTTTTTAGAGACAGGGTCCCCCTATGTTGCCCATACTGGTCTTGAACTCCTGGCCTCAAGCAGTCCTCCTGCCTTGGCCTCCCAAGTTGAGATTACAGGTGTGAGCCACCATGCACAGCTAAGTTTCTTTTTACTTATTTATTTATTTTCTTTTTTTTTTTTTTTGAGACAGAGTCTTGCTATGTTGCCAGGCTGGAGTGCAGTGGCTCAATAACGGCTCACTGCAGTTTCTGCCTCCTGGGTTCAAGCAATTCTCCTGCCTCAGCCTCCCGAGTAGCTGGGACTACAGGCATGTGCCACCACGCCCAGCTAACTTTTATATTTTTTAGTAGAGATGGGGTTTCACCACGTTGGCCAGGATGGTCTCAATCTCTTGACCTCGTGATCCACCCGCCTCAGCCTCCCAAAGTGCTGGGATTACAGGCGTGAGCCACCGCACCCGGCCTATTTATTTATTTTTTTGAGACAGAACCTTACTGTGTCCCCCAGGCTGGAATCCAGTGGCACAATCTTGGTTCACTGCAACCTCTGCCACCCGGGTTCAAGCAATTCCCCTGCTTCAGCCTCCTGAGTAGCTGGGACTACAGGCATGCACCACCACACCCAGCTAATTTTTTGCATTTTAGTAGAGATGGGGTTTCAGCATGTTGGTCAGGATGGTCTCGATCTCCTGACCTCATGATATGCCTGTCTTGGCCTCTCAAAGTGCTGGGATTACAGCCATGAGCCACTGCACCCAGCCCCAAAGTTCTTTTTTATTTTATTATTTTTTTATTGAATGGCTGGTCTCGAACTCCTAGACTCAAGTGATTCTCCAGCCTTGGCCTCCCAAAGTGCTACAGGTATAGGCTTGTGCCATGCCTGACCTTAGCCAAGGATTTTTTTTTTTTTTTGGACACAGAATCTTGCTCTGTCACTCAGGTTAGAGTGAAGTGGCACGATCTTGGTTCACTGCACCCTGTGCCTCCTGCTAAGCAATTCTCTGCCTCAGACTCTTGAGTATCTGGGATTACAGGCGCCCACCACCAGGCCTGGCTAATTTTTGTATTTTTAGTAGAGACGGGGTTTTACCAACTAGGCCAGACTGGTCTTCACCTCCTGACCTTGTGATCTATTCACCTGGGCTTCCTAAAGTGCTAGGATTACAGGCATGAGCCACCATGCTCAGCCAGCCAAGGTGTGTAAGTAACATATTTCAGCATTGGCTCTGTAGTTTTGTAGGTTGGTCACATAAGCATTAGCTGGGTCTGAAATGTTAGTAAGCATTTTATTATTCCAGCAAAGATCCCCATGAATTAATTATGTATCAGAAGGAATGAGAACTACAGTGTGCTTGCTGGGCAAAAAAATTACCATTGCAGTGAATTCTCATGCTGCCAAGCATAACCAGATTATCAGCTAGGGAGCTGAGAAGAAATCCCATATTCCTTTTGAACCAAATAACCTGCTGCTGAGTCATGTAGCTTTAGCTTTGTTATCTGTTTACTGCAAAATGGTGTATCCAAATCTTCATTTTCTCTTGTAGTTTTAAAAAAGTCTTTATCTTTTAGTGATGCATAGTAAAAAATTTATGAATGATGTGAGATCTAGAATTTGTTTCAGAATTATCCGGGGGCAGAATATTCTGGCCGCAGGCACGTGGAGGTTCTAGCTGAGCCAGGTGAGAAGTTTGTAGACGGTTATTGTATGATTCTCTATGTTGGTATTTGTTTGAAATTCTTGGTAGCAGAGTTTTTAAAATGCCATTTTCCACAAGCAGTTCCTGGGCTAGTTTTCCTGTGATCATTTTAAAGGCTCTGAAAGGGAAGTCTGAGTTTTGATCCACACTGCCACATTGTAATGTGGTAAGTGCCCTTCTGTGGTTGAGCCAGATGATGCACGTATGGATGAAACCCAAGCATGCCACCCTCTGCTTCCCGAGAGGGCATTTGCAGGAATGGGTGAGGGCTTCTCTGGAGCACGACTGCCTAGTTTTGATGCTGTCTCCCCTACTTACTAGTGGGGAGGACTTAGCCTATTCTGTGGGTGTTCCCTTCCTTTCCTATCTTCAAGAAGGAGTGATTGGTAGTATCTGTTTCATGGGGTTGTTGCAAGGGTTGAATGAGTGGCTCAGAGTAGATGCTGCATCCATACTTGCTGTTATCATCCTTAGAACATGAACGATTGGGTGCCCATCGCCAAGGAGTATGATCCACTCAAAGCAGGTAGCATCGATGGCACCGATGAAGACCCACATGACCGCGCAGTCTGGAGGGCAATGCTGGCACGATATGTCCCCAACAAAGGTGTCATCGGAGATCCCCTCCTCACCCTGTTTGTGACCAGACTAAACTTGCAGACCAAGGAGGACAAATTAAAGGAAGTCTTTTCCCGCTATGGTGACATCCGGCGGCTTCGGCTGGTCAGGGACTTGGTCACAGGCTTTTCAAAGGGCTACGCCTTCATCGAATTCAAGGAGGAGCGTGCCGTGATCAAAGCTTACCGAGATGCTGACGGCCTGGTTATTGACCAACATGAGATATTTGTGGACTATGAGCTGGAGAGGACTCTCAAAGGGTGGATCCCTCGGCGACTTGGAGGCGGTCTGGGAGGAAAAAAGGAGTCTGGGCAACTGAGATTTGGGGGACGGGACCGGCCTTTTCGAAAACCTATTAACTTGCCAGTCGTTAAAAACGACCTCTATAGAGAGGGAAAACGGGAAAGGCGGGAGCGATCTCGATCTCGAGAAAGACACTGGGACTCGAGGACAAGGGATCGAGACCATGACAGGGGCCGGGAGAAGAGATGGCAAGAAAGAGAGCTGCCCAGGGTGTGGCCCGAAAATGACTGGGAGAGAGAGAGGGATTTCAGAGACGACCGGGTCAAGGGGAGGGAGAAGAAGGATCGAGGCAAGTAGAGGCCCAACAGCAGACTCCAAAGTGAGGACACAGTGGACGGGAGTGGAAGGTGGTTGTCTTTGATGCAGCGCAAGTCTAATGGTTGAATAAAACCTACTGACGATCATGGGGTTTGGAATAGTTTTCTTTCCCACCCGGAACCGGTTCAGGCTGATGTTATGAATTTATCATCTTCACATAGTTCTAAGGATATGTGATTTAACAGGATCGAGAAGCAATTTTGTAGTTACTGGTATCTGTACAAGGGGCATTTTCCTTTTTTTTTTTGACACAGAGTCTCACTTTGTTGACAGGGTTGGAGTGCAAAGGCGCGATCTTGGCTCGCTGCAACCTCTGCCTCCTGGGTTCAAGTGATTCTCTTGCCTCAGCCTCGCCAGTAGTTGGGATTACTGGGATATTCTGTCAGGCCCGGCTGATTTTGTATTTTTAGTAGAGATGGGGCTTCACCATGTTGGTCAGGCTGATCTTCAACTCTTTTTTTTTTTTTTGAGATGGGAGTTTCACTTTTGTTGCCCCGGCTGGAGTGCAATGGTGTGATCTTAGTTCACCACAACCTCTGCCTCCGTGGTTCAAGTGATTCTCCTGCCTCAGCCTCCCAAGTAACTGGGATTATAGGCGCCCACTACCACACCTGGCTAATTTTTGTATTTTTAGCAGAGACAGAGTTTCTTTTTTTTTTTTATTTAAAGAGAGAGTCTCGCTGGGTTGCTCAGGCTGGAGTGCAGTAGTACGATAGCTCACTGCAACCTACACCTCTCAGTTCAAGCAATTCTTCTGCCTCAGCCTCCTGAGTAGCTGGGCCTACGGGACCCCAGGTGCACACACCACCATACCTGGCTAATTGTTTTTTTTTTTTTTTTTGAGACAAAGTCTCACTCTGTCGGCCAGGCTGGAGTGCAATGGCATGATCTTGGCTCACTGCAACTTCTGCTTTCTGAGTTCAAGCAACTCTCCTGCTTCAGCCTCCTGAGTAGCTGGGACTATAGGCACATGCCACCATGTCTGGCTAATTTTTTATATTTTTAGTAGAGACAGGGTTTCACTTTGTTAGCCAGGATGGTCTCAATCTCCTGACCTCGTGATCCACCCGCCTCAGCCTCCCAAAGAGCTGGGATTATAGGCGTGACCCACTGCGCCCATCAGTAGAGACAGGGTTTTACCATGTTGGGTCAGGCTGATCTCCAACTCTTTTCTTTTGAGATAGAGTTTCACTCTTGTTGCCCATACTGGAGTGCAATGGTGTGATCTTGGCTCACTGCAACCTCTGCCTCCCTGATTCAAGTGATTCTCCTGTCTTAGCCTCCCAAGTAGCTGGGATTATAGGCACCCACCACCACACCTGACTATTTTTTGTATTTTTAGTAGAGATGGGGTTTCACCATGTTAGTCAGTTTATTCTTGAACTCCTAACCTCAAGTGATCCACCCGCCTTGGCCTCCCTAAGTGCTGGGATTACAGGTGCAAGCCACCACTCCTGGCCTGGTGTCCAACGCTTGACCTCAAGTGATCCACCTGCCTCAACTTCCCAAAGTACTGGGATTATAGGCATGAGCCACTTCACCTGGCCGGAAGGGCATTTGTAAGGAGCTAGTAGTATTCAAATTTAATTTGGAAGTAGAGAATTTGATTTTCTCCCATCTATTTGAAATGATCATCTTGAGTATGTGGCAAAAAGAGGTGATGACCTAATCACAGTCCTCTGTGAGTCCTGGGCGGAGGAACACTAACCTGGTCAGAATAAATTGCTGAATTGAAATAAATATGGCATAGAAAAGTGAATCGAAGGAGAATGTCCAAAGCCTTAATAGCAGAAGGCAGTCTGCACCACCAGTCAGCATTCTTGAGCAAATGCACCTCCACCCTCATTCAGAATGCCGATTGCCTGTCTTCTTTTTCCGGCTGACATTTAAAATTAAAAACCAAAGTTGCTGGGCTGTGATCTATGGCAGTCTGCCAGGTTTTTGAAAAGATAAAGTTCGACAGAAGTGGTGGTGAAATGAAAATGAAGAGTAAGGAGTGGTCAGGATCAATGAAAGAATTACAGCTAGTTTTGGTGGATTGATTTTTCCTTTCTCTCCTGATTAGTCTCTGGTGTGCTCGAGAGCTGGATCTGCTGACCTTAACTTCTGAGGACTTTGAGCAAGTACCATACTGTTCAGATGATTTTCGAAAAGTGACATTTAGCATGTTGATAAATGGCTGTCTTTGAAAATTCATATTCTTTTTATTTTTATTTGTCTATTTTGGCTTTTATTGCCAATGCTTTTGGTGTTTTGGGAAAGTTCATATTCTTAATAAGATGTTTCATGCAAAGTAAATGATTTAGCAGGGCGTGGTGGCTCACGCCTGTAATCTCACCACTTAGGGAGGCCGAGGCAGGTAGATCACAAGGTCAAGAGTTCGAGACCAAGCTGGCCAACATGGTGAAACCCTGTCTCTACTAAAAATACAAAAATTGGCCAGGCGCGGTGGCTCACGCCTGTAATCCCAGCACTTTGGGAGGCCAAGGCGGGTGGATCACGAGGTCAAGAGATCAAGGCCATCCTAGTCAACATGGTGAAACCCCATCTCTACTAAAAATACAAAAAAAATTAGCTGGGCATGGTGGCATGTGCCTGTAATCCCAGCTACTTGGGAGGCTGAGGCAGGAGAATTGCCTGAACCCAGGAGGCGGAGGTTGCGGTTAGCCAAGATCGCACCATTGCACTCTAGCCTGGGTCACAAGAGTGAAACTCTGTCTCAAAAAAAAAAAAAAAAAAAAATTAGCTGGGCATGGTGGCAAGCACCTTTAATCCTAGCTACTCTGGAGGCTGAGGCAAGAGAGTCATTTGAACCCGGGAGACGGAGGTTGCAGTGAGCTGAGATTGTGCCATTGCACTCCAGCCTGGGTGACAGGGTGACTCCATCTCAGAAAAAAAAAAAAAAAAAAACCCAAAACAAAACCCAAAATAAATGATTTTAATACAGTCATTACTAGGTTTTTGCATAGGAGTATGAATCTCTCATGATGTGATCTAGGGAACTGGACCAACCTGCTGTGCCTTAAAATTGCTGTCAGCTGTTAGAACAGTTTTAGAAAAATAGACCCTTTCCTTTGTGAATTTCCAGCATAGAATTTTACTATTTCCCAGGTCTCAGAAAACAACCCTTGCAGCAAGCCTTTTTGATTTCACTCACATTTCATTTACAAAGTGTTCCCTTATGATGGTACGAGAAGTGTGTCATGGGCTAGGGTTGGTTGGTTCTCTAGAAAACAAGACTGCCTGCATTAGGGAAGCCTTGTGAGACACCATCAGGACAAAGAGCAAAGCCACTTGCAGTGTTTGTGTGGTTGTTAACTCTGAGAATCAGAACAAGGAGAGATCGAAAACTGTGCACAGCCAGGCTGGGCGTGATGGCTCACAGCTATAATCCCAGCACTTTGGGAAGCCATGGCAGGTGAGGAGTTCGAGACCAGCCTGAGCAACATGGTGAAAACGCATCTCTACAAAAACCACAAAAATTATCCTGGTGGTGGTGGTGCGTGCCTATGGCACCACCTACTCAGGAGGCAGGCTGGAGAATTGCTTGAGCCCAGGAAGCGGAGGTTGCAGTGAGCTGAGATTGCGCCTCTGCACTCCAGCCTGGGTGACAGAGTGAGACCCTGTCTTAAAACAGAAAACATGCACACTCAGACTCCAACCCTGTACATTTGGGCTTAGGGTTCTATGGGCTGTGGTAACTCTGAAAGAAAAACAATGGCACAGCTTCCACGGTAGGGACTTTGGCAGTCTCCGTGAACATGGCAGAGGCAAACCCTCTGACCTAGCAATTCTGCTTCTAGTTTATCCTGTAGACGTGCATGTATGTGAAAGTGTGCAACACTTTTTGAGAGTAAAGGATTTAAAGGAGCTACCTGTCCATCAGTGGGGCCTCGATAAACATTAATAAATATCACCTCCATATGATAGACCAGGGCATTGTAGGGTGTTCATTAGCACCTTCCTTGGTCTTTACCCATAGATGACGGTATCATCTTTCCCTCTCCAGTTGTGACAACTAAAAATGTCTCCAGACTGTCAAATGTCCCCTGGGGGGCTCAGTCACCCATGGTTGAGAGCCACTGTCTTATGTACTGATAGGGAGTTACTGCTAGAAATTTTTTTTTTGAGGCAGGGTCTCACTCTGTCTCCCAGGCTAGAGTGCAGCTGTGTGATCACAGCTCACTGCAGCCTTGAACTCCTGGGCTCAAGGAATCCTCCTATCTTAGCCTCCCAAGTAGCTGGGATCACAGGTGTGCACCACCACACCCACCTATTTTTTTGTTTTGAGACAGAGTCTTGCTCTGTTGCCAGGCACCAGGCTGGAGTGCAGTGGCACAATCTTGGCTCATTGCAACCTCTGCCTCCCGGGTTCAAGCAATTCTCCTGCCTCAGCCTCCCGAGTAGCTGGGACTACAGGCATGTGCCACCATGCCCAGCTAATTTTTGTATTTTTTAGTAGAGACCATGCCTGGCCTATTTTTGTGTGTGTGTGTTTTTTGTTATTGATTTTTTTCATAATTGTGTGTATAAACTTTTTGATGGATTAATTTTTCCTTTCTGTCTTGATTATATAGCCTGATTTGCTCAAGAGCTGCATCTCCTGACTTACCAAAAAAGAGACATTTGGCCGGGTGTGGTGGCTCATGCCTTTCATCCCAGTACTTTGGGAGGCCGAGGTGGGTGAATCACAAGGTCAGGAGTCCAAGACCAGCCTGTCCAACATAGTGAAACCCCATCTCAACAAAAATACAAAACTGAGCCAGTGTAGTGGTGGGTGTCTGTAGTCTCAGCTACTTGGGAGGCTGAGGCAGAATTGCTTGAATCCGGGAGGCAGAGGTTGTAGTGAGCTGAGATCATGCCACTACATTCCAACCTGGGCGACAGACAGAGACTCTGTCTCAAAAAAAAAAAAAAAGTGACATTTAGGTCAGGCACATTGGCTAATGCCTGAATTCTCAACACTTTGGGAGGCCGAGGTGCGAGGATCACTTGAGCCCAGGAGTTTGAGACCAGCTTGGGCAACAAAGCAAGACCTTGTCTCTACAAAAAATAACTAACTGGGCATGGTGAGGCACATCAGTAGTACCAGGTACCTGGGAGGCTGAGGTGGGAGGATTGCTTGAGCCCGGGAGTTCATGTCTACAGGTCTGCAGTGAGCTATGCTAGCATCACTGTACTCTAGCCTGGGTGACAGAGTGAGACACTGTGTCCAAAAAGAAAAAAAAAGGGGCCAGGCACAGTGGCTCATGCCTGTAATCCCAGCACTTCAGGAGGCCAAGGCGGGTGGCTCACTTGAGGCCAGAGGTTCACGACCAGGCTGGCCAACATGGTGAAACTCTGTCTCTACTAAAAGTACAAAAATTAGTCAAGTATGGTGGCACACACTTGTAATCCCAACTACTTGGGAAGCTCAGGCATGAGAATCGCTTGATCCCAAGAGGCAGAGAGGTTGCAGTGAGCAGAGATGGTGGCACTGTACTCCGGCTCGGGTGACAGAGCAAGATTCTAACTCAAAAAAAAAAAAAAAAAAGTGACATTTAGTGTTTAGGAAAGATAACCAAAAACCTGGCAAAACTGGTTACCTGTCGGAAAGGCAACAAAGGTGGACAGGGGTAGGAGAGGTATTTATCAGTTTACCTGCTTCTATACTCTTTGAGAATACATTCTAATAATTCTAATGGGCAGTCAGGTTTGAGAAGCACTGCTCGAAAGCAGCAAAAATTACCTTGTCTGATCATTTTTTTTTTCGGCAATCTGGAAGCAGGGTCCATTCTAGATTCTGCAAATCTACCTGTTGCTTCCTGTCTCCTTCCTTCCTTTTTTCTTTTTCTTCCTCTCTTCCTTTCCTCCCTCCCTCCCTTCTTCCTTCCTTCCTTCTCTTTCTTTTCTTTTCCTCTTTTCTTTTGATGAAGTTTTGCTCTGTCATCCAGGCTGGAGTGCAGTGGCACTGTCTTGGTTCACTGCAACTTCCGCCTCCTGGGTTCAAGGGATTCTCCTGTCTCAGCCTCCCGAGTAGCTGGGATTACAGGTTTGTACCACCAGGCCTGACTAATTTTTTTGGATTTTTTGATTTTTCTCCATGTTGGCCAGACTGGTCTCAGACTCTGGACCTCAAGTGATCTACCTGCCTTGGCTTCCCGAAGTGCTGCGATTACAGGCATGAGCCACCGTACCTGGCCTTGCCTAATGGCTTCTTAGCAAACTTCAGTAGAATGTGTAGAATGTGGCCCTGATAAACTTGAATGCTGGTAGGAGGTGCTACCTCGCTCCATCTGTGAGCACCCAGCCCTATGCCCTGGATGCTTGGTGGGTGGAGAGAAAGAGTGTTACGTGGGCAAGCCTCCAACTCACCAGTTGCAGGCAGAGCGTCTGGCTCTCTGCTGCTGCAGCCCTGTGTCAGTCAGATGTGTGCTCCCCAAGCCAGCTTCCCAGCTAGCACCCTTGTTTTGCTACAGCTCCCCCACCTGCCCTCCTGCATTGCCTAGGATCCCATGCCCTGCTTTCAGTCTGCTCTGGGACATTTGTCTTCTTTGCAGGGTACTAAGTATTTGACTTAATGAATCCTAAAAGGAAAAAAAAAAGATGTCAGGAAAAAAAAGTACACACAAGAAATGTTGCAACATCTCATCCTTAGCAACTTTGGCTAGTACTGCAACTCACAGCAGCTTCCGAGGCACCTGCCTTGAACATGGCTACATGCTCTAGGCACTACCAGGAAAGTAGCCAGGGCCTCTGCAAAGTTGTCTCCATCTCTGGGAGAGAGGACCATTATCCATATTGTTTGTGGCTTTGTGTCTGAGTTGGCTACTGAGCCTGTGACTTCATACGCCTTGTCTGCCTGATGGATACATTCTGTGTAATAAGTTACTCTCACAGTTTCATGAATGTAACTAATTAAGATCTATCCCCTCCTGCTGAACTGTGTCACTGGTAATAATAAGACCTCTACACATAGCATTTTATACAAAGCAAGTCAAACAGCAATGGTAGTGGCAAGTGATGTATTTGGCTTAAGGAAACTTGAGTTACTGAAGTTAACACAAAAGTCTGGCCTCAGTTCGTGGGATTATTAAATATATATCCTAAGGGATCAGTCATCTATTATAAACGGTGATAGCCCTGGGTATAAATAAACTTTTTTTTTAGAGTTTGGCATCAGTTTTTCAATGTCCATCCTCAAATCAGCAGTCTGTTTGAGGGGTCGGTTTTCAGGGTGCGTTCGCACCAACAGGCTTGAGGCAGCAGCGACCCCTGGTCTGCAGTTTGGCTGCAGGCGCCGGTGGTGGGCAGTCCAGGCTGGAGGGTGGAGCTGGGTCAAGATCACAGGTGCTGCAGGGCTTCCTGTCCTTGCTCTGTGTAACCGTCATCGCGGTGCATGTTTGCCCACTGTCCAAAGGACTCCTGGATGTGCACGTTTCTCTGTGTGTTGGCCAGACGCTTCTTATCTCGGGAGAAGAAGCTAAACCTTTGGAGGGAAAGAAAACCCAGAAATGAGAGCTGACCCTTCACTGTGCACTTTATATTTTTTTGCAGTGCCGGAGACATACAGCAGCAAACTCAGAAGGGAGCAAATCAATTCAAAGTGTGAAAGACAGTTGGGGGTGCAGGTCAAAGTTATTCCAAGAAAGCAGCAGGGTATTCTGCATGTCATTTGGACATGGTACCTTGGAGGTCACGCGGTCTGGGAAGGCATGCATGTTGATGTGATGTGTGAGTTGTCTTCCACCTTAGTCGCTATGGAGGATTTATCCCGTTACCAGTGGAAATAAAAAGCGACTGCAACAAATCATGGGTTTCTTTAATTACCCTAATGACGCAGAGAAAGGAATACTTGAGAGCTGTGTGGAATGTGAGACGATGCTGTTGTAATCAGATGAGTACTTCTAACTTAAATAGTTCTGTACTTGTTTACTGTCAGGAAACTGTGGCCCAGATTTCATGGGCATTGGTGCTTAGGATGAGGCTAAAGGAAGCATTTAAGAGAAACGAGACAATAAAAAATATATTATGGGCTGGGCGCGGTGGTTCACACCTGTAACCCAAGCACCTTGGGAGGTCAAGGCAGGTGGATCACTTGAGGTCAGGAGTTTGAGACCAGCCTGGCCAACATAGTGAAACCCCATCTCTACTAAAAATGTAAAAATTATCTGGGCATGGTAGCACACCCCTGTAATCCCAGCTACTTGGGAAGCTGAGGCAGGGAATTGCTTGAGCCTGGGAGGCGGGAGGCGGAGGTTGCAGTGAGCCAAGATCGCGCCACTGCAGTCCAGCTTGGGCAACAGAAAGAGACTCTTAAGAAAAAAAAATTAATTATTTATATATATATATACATACATACATACATATGTATACATATACATATATATGTAAAACACAGTATGCATGGTTCTCTGATACAAAATTTGGGAAGCATCAATTTGCACTTTCAAATATGGATTTAATGGTGAAAGCCTTTAGAATGTATCACTGTAACCAGCTACAGAGCCACAATCTGGCTCAGACTTTAACTAAGGTAGACCAAGAGATCTTTTTAAAACAGCTGTGACTGTTGCTTATTGATCAGAGAGAACCATCAGGAGTAACTTAAGCATATCCTAAGAGTGACAGAAAAAGAAGGAAAAAAAAGAACCATCAGGAACTTGCAGATGCCTGAAAGATACAGGTAGAAGTCACGAGCATACTTGACTTTGTTACCATAGAAAAAAGAAAAACAGAAAAAAAAGTCACAAGCAAAAAAGCTTGTAGTCAGTTTATTATTTATTTATTTATTATTATTGTTTTGAGATGGAGTTTCACGCTTGTTGCCCAGGCTGGAGTGCAATGGCACGATCTCGGCCCACTGCAACCTCTGCCTCCCGGGTTCAAGCGATTCTCCTGCCTCAGCCTCCTGAGTAGCTGGGATTATATGTGCCTGCCACCACACCCGGCTAATTTTTTGTATTTTTAGTAGAGACAGGGTTTTACCATGTTGGCCAGGCTGTTTTCAAACTCCTGACCTCAGGTGATCCACCCATCTTGGCCTCCTGAAGTTACAGGTATGATGGCTCATAACTGTAATCCTCGGCTGGGATTACAGGTATGAGCCATCCTGCCCAGCCAAAGTAGTCCATTTAAAACAAAGTCTGCTTTGAGGTCATGTAAACAAACTAGGACCCTGGTCAGTGAACTTGAAGTTGACCTACCTTGAGGAATTCCCAAAAACTCTTCCTGAAACTTTCCTTTGATACTACCAGGCTCTATTAAGATTCCTTCTGTTGTCACCAAGTTTTACTTTTTTTTTGAGATGGAGTCTCACTCTTTTGTCAGCCAGGCTGGAGTACAGTGGCTCGATGTCAGCTCATTGCAACCGTTGTCCCCTGGGTTCAAGCAATTGTCCTGCCTCAGCCTCCCAAGCAGCTGGGATTACAGGTGCATGCCACCACGCCGAGCTAGCTAATTTTTTTGTATTTTTAATAGAGATGGGGTTTCACCACGTTGGTCAGGCTGGTGTCAGAACTCCTGACCTCAAAGGATCTGCCTGTCTCGGCCTCCCAAAGTGCTGGGATTACAGCATGAGTTGCCACGCCTGGCAGCCACCAAGTTCTACTCCTGAATTTTGGCTCTGAACTTGGTAAGAGAGATCTAATAGCTATGTTATGTTTCCTGGGAGGTAAGAATAGGAACAAAGCCGCTGCGAAATCAAAGCTTCAGATAAACTATTTTTGCTTCCCTATGTTCGCTGGTTGCTAGTGTTGCAGCCTCTAGAGTTTAGTTTTAATCACATCTGGGTGAAAAAAATTTCACTCTTCTGTGGTTACTGGATCCTACAATCACTTTTTACTGAGAATAAACTGATCTTTCATTGCAAAGCCACAGCAAGCCAAGTGTATCCAATGAAACTCTCCCTAGCAACTAAGATGCCTGTTCTCTATGACAGGTAAGTGTGCTGGTGAATCAAGGCACGATTCTCACATCGGGTTATTTGTGAGCTCTTTCCATAGGGTAATTCAGGCAATTAGCTGGCCAAAAATACAGCAGCCACACATCATAGTTACGCTTCACCTCTCCCTGACTCAGGTAAGCGGGAAAGTCACTTAGCACTTCTGACACAGAGAGAATCAAAACACTGGTCCCCTCCTCTGCTTTTCTTTTTAAAACAAGATCAAATGGCTGACCTGAGGATGGCTTGGGAAACAAAGCAGTTTAGAAAGCTACAGGGTGAGCGTCAAAAAAACAGGGTTAGTGTCACTCAGGAACCGCGGTAGGCGCTGATTACTGACCCGTCACTTAAAGGACCTTCTTTACTGGATCATGGGCAAGGTGGTTTTAGAACAGAAACAGAAGAGACAAGAAGAATTATCGGTGACGGAGCCGAGAATTCTGAGGCTTCGCTCGAGTAGACCAAGCGCAGCCAGTGGCACAGCTGAAATCACACTCAACATCCACTTCAAATGGAGCACACAGGTGGTGGCCATGCAGCTTAAGTGGCCAGGGGAGACAGGCCAGCCCCAGCAGTAGCTGTAGCAGACATTCCAAGGGCACAGCTCAAACAAAACCCAAAACACACACAGTGCCTACAAGGGAAACAAGTCGTCGGACAGGCTGCAGTGTGGGGTCATCTATTATCAGTCCAGCTGCTACCATGGGCATTATGGCTGTAAAGATCCTGGTTAGAAAAGTACAGATAGACACAGAGAAGATAAAAACGGGAGGTATGAGAAAGAAACACTCTACGGACACCAGCGGAAGGGTCTGATTAGGGTTGAATTGTGTCCCCTGCCTCTAAATTCATTAAAAAACATTTTTTGAGACGTTGTTTTTCTCTCGTGTCCCAGGTACAGTGGCTTGTTCTCAGCTCACTGCAACCTCCACCTCCTAGGTTCAAGCGATTCTCCTGCCTCAACCTTTCGAGTAGCTGGGATTATAGGCGTGCACCACCACACCCTGCAAATTTTTTACATTTTTAGTAGAGACAGGGTTTCACCATGTTGGCCAGGCTGATCTCAAACTCCTGAGGACCTTGTGATCTGTCCACCTCAGCCTCCCAATGTGCTGGGCTTATAGGTATGTGCCACTGTACCCCACCTGTACCCAACTATTTCTAAAAAAAAAAAAAAAAATTTTTTTGAGGCCAGGTGCAGTGGCTCATTCATGCCTGTAATCCCAGCACTTTGGGAGGCCGAGGTGGGCAGATCACCTGAGGTCAGGAGCTCAAGACCAGCCTGACCAACATGAAGAAACCCTCTCTACTAAAAATTAGTAGAAACTCTCTCTACTAAAAAACCCTCTCTATAAAATTAGCTGGGCAAGGTGGTGCATGCCTGTAATCCCAGCTACTCGGGAGGCTGAGACAGGAGAACTGCTTGAACCCGGGAGGCAGAGGCTGCAGTGAGCCGAGCTGCACTCCAGCCTGGGCAACAAGAGTGAAACTCCTTCTAAAAAAAAACCAAAAAACTAAAACTGATGCAGTATATGACAGCCACAAATGGATGACAGAGTGGCTCCCCAGGGCTAAAATGCAGGGCTGCATGTGGGGAAGGAAGAAGGCGAAACACGCTTTGGGAGATGGTGGTGATGCCCTGGCAAGAGGGCCTTTCAGTGTTCTCCCCAACTGTGATGAGCTGCAGGCACCACGCCCCTAAGTGCCAGGCAAGAACCAGGAGAGACCGTGAGGCAGAGCGAGGGGCCAGGCACAGCCTGCAGAATCATCAGCTCTTCTGGTCCAAGCTCACAGTAAATAAATGCCCGTCTGTTCCTCAGCTGGGCAGAGGAAATGATGAAACTCCAGCCATGCCACGAAAGCTTACTTTGAAGAGCTGTCATTTTGTTAAAAAAGCTGGTTGGATAAAGATAAAATAATTGTCTCCAATGAGACTTGGAGATGCTCCAGGTGTTTGGATCACCTTTGATATGCTTCACAGAGTAGCTGGGAGTTGGTGTCTTTTTCTTTTTAAATTAAAAAAATAATTTCTAATGATTCACTTCCAATGCATTTTCGTTTTTTGACAGAGTCTCACTCTGTCGCCCAGGCTGGAGTGCAATGGCACGATCTCAGCTCACCACAACCTCTGCCTCCAGGGTTCAAGCAATTCTCCTGCCTCATCCTCCTGAGGAGCTGGGACTATAGGCGTGCGCGACTCTGCTGGGCTAATTTTTTGTTTTTAGTAGAGATGAGGTTTCCCCGTGTTGGCCTGGCTGGTCTTGAACTCCTGGCATCAACTCCTGATCCACCTGCCTTGGCCTCGAGCCACCATGCCCGCCCAGGAGTTGGTGTCTTTGCAGAACCTCCTGGATGGTTTCTCAGGATGACGTGGAGAAGCTGAGATGTCTTCTGCTAAGTGAATGGGCCCAACCCCCAGAGGCCAGGTTACTGGGCACAGTTAGCCTTCCAGGCGCTCCAAGCCACACCATTTTGTACCCACCTTTGCCAGGACACCCAAAGAGGTTACCCACAAAGATACAGTCATTGTGTGGGAGGTGGCCTCAAACGTAGAGGGGACAGTTTGCCTGGAGAGATGTTTGCCCACCAGGAATGCTGGACTTCATTCAGGGCCTTGGCAGGGGGTGACTGATGCTCGGGGGCCTGGGACACCTGGAGTGTTCTGACTGAGTTACTGCATCTGTGTTTTCTTGTTTTGTTTCAGAGACGAGTCTTCCTTTGTTGCTCAGCTGGAGTGCAGTGGCGCAATCTGGGCTCACTGCAGCCTTGACCCCCTGGGCTCAAGAGAGCTTCCTGCCTCAGTTTCCCTAGTAGCTGGGACTACAAGCGTGTGCCACCATGCCCAGCCAATTAAAAATTTTTTTTTGTAGAGACAGGGTCTCGCTATGTTGCCCAGGCTCATCTCAAACTCCTGGCCTCAAGTGATTCCCCCCACCTTGGCCTCCCAAAGTGTTGGGATTACGGGCATGAGCCACTGCACCTGGCCCTGTCTGTGTCTTGCTGGGCTCACTGAGTGGGCAGCCCCTTCCCTTCCTATTCCAAGGGGCTGCCCTGCAGAAGCTGCCTCCTCTAGAAGGACAGCCATTTCCATAAAAAGATTGACTTGTTTTGGCCAGAAGTTTGTCTTGAATACCCTGTAGCTGGTTTTAACTCCCCCCTCCCCGCCAAATATTTCTGGAAGACTCAAACCAAATGAAGTTCTAACAGTGGCATTTCAGGCAGCGTAATGGGCGGCTGTGAAGAAGCTATTCCTGGGCTGGAGTGGGGGGGTGGTAGGTGGGAGGACGGGGACAGAATGCACTGTCATTGCTACCCTTGGACACCTGGCGGCCGCCCACTCCAAAGCCAACCTTTCCGTTCCTTGAGGCCAGTTCTCATCCCTTGCTTCCCTGGTCCCCGATCTACACCCACCTGTCTTCCGATCTCCTGATCAGCTCCTGGCCCCTGCCCTGCAAAAGGCAGCTGTGTGTGCATCCGTGGGACCATGACTGAGAGACAGGGACCACGCAAAGTGGGGTGCTGGTGCCTGGTGTTCCCTCGGGATGAGGCTGAAGTCACTCCAGCACTCCCTTGTGACCTTCCTGGGCAGTGCCAGCCCAGCCTCTCTGGCCAGCAGCTGCTCAATCACAAATCACAAACTATTCTTGGAACATCTTCGGGGCACACTGTTTTGACTGGTTCCCTTGTCCGGTTCAGTCTAGAAATGCGAAGTCGGATGCCTGTGACTCATGGTGCAATGCACAGATAAGGGGCCCACCACCAGGGGCTCAGGTAGGGGAGCGGGAAAACAGTGGCGGGGAGGTGGGGGCAGAAAAGGCATCGGTTCAAATCTGAAGACAGCCTTCCGGGCAGTTTAATCTTTTTTTTTTTTCCCCCGGGCAGTTTAATCTAAATGAGGTCAGTGGACTTCTCCAGGCCTCAGTTCCCTCATCTGAGAAACAGGGATAATTGTCTGAGCTCTGGGTCCCTGACAGGATGGAGATACCTTAGTCCAATGCTCTAAACTGCCGAAGCCCCTGAGCCCTCCTTGGTGGCTGTGAGTTGCTGCAGGAGGATGGGTGGGAGAAACCAGTTCACAGTGCAAAGCAGAGCTGGAGAACCGCCCTGAGCAGACTGCATGGCTAATACTCCCTGGAGGCAAGGGTGGGAGAGACCCAGCAGACCAGGTGGGTGCAAGAGAACTGAAGATGGAAGGATGCTCAGAACCACCTTGGGAATTGTTACTCCTTGCCCCAGCCCAGGGAAGATCTGTCCCTGCCTAGGTTCCTCTGCCGCACTGATGCAGCTTCTAGCCAGCAGTAGAGGCGGACAAAGCACACAGTGTCTGGCCTGCAGTGGTCAAAAGCCCTTTGTGCCAATTTGCTCTCCCAGTTATCCCCCAGCAGGTGGGACTGGCACAGGACTGGCCACCTGCACCCTGTGGATGGGAGATTCTGGTCTCACTGTCTCACTCTCTCTCGGGCTCCCTGATTCCAGATATCCTCACCAGGCTCAGAACCCCACATTTTCATGAACAACCAGAAGCCACCCTAAGCGGGGGAGAGCTCTGAAAACAGGGCCCCAGGGTCCTTTCTGGAACAATCTGGAAAAGAAGGCCAGAAACCACAGCCTATTCAGGTGTGCGTAGAAGAACTAGTGGAAAGATCCATTGGTTAATTCTGATAACTTCCCTCTGGATTTCACCCAATACGAAATTTGCAAAGCCAACTTAATTGTCTGTTTAGAGAAAGGGAGCCAGAGTAGAAAATCACTGTCAGAAAGAAAAACTCGGCTGTGGAAGGAATTTTTAGAATTACATATGACCGTGGGTGCTAGAGGCTCTGTGAATGCAGCACATTGGAAGTGAAGTGCTAGAAAGGCTGATTCTTTCTTTTTTTGAGTTAGAATCTTGCTCTGTTGTCTCGAGGCTCGAGTGCAGTGGTGTGATCTCGGCTCATTTCAACGTCTGCCTTTTGAGTTCAGGCAATTCTTGTGCCTCAGCCTCCTGAGTAGATAAGATTAGAGGCACCTGCTACCACACCTTGCTAATTTTTTTTTTGTATTTTTAGTAGAGATGGGGTTTCACCGTGTTGGCCAGGCTGGTCTCGAACTTCTGACCTCAAGTGATCTGCCCACCTCGGCCTTCCAAAGTGCTGGGATTACAGGCCACTGAGCCTAGCCTCCAAATTTGTCTTCTTAGGTTACTTTGAGTTGAGTTTCAACTGCAAATGGAAGGTTACTACTGAATCCATGATGAAAATGGTGTTGGGTCTAGAGGAAGCTTTTCTGGCGCCATGCTTATTCCCTAGGAAATGTTTATCTCTAACCAGAACTGGGGCCACACTCCCTCCCCGATGCATCAGGGACCTGGAGTCAAGCTCCTAAGCAGCCTGAACCAAGCTGGAAGGGAGCCTGTACTGTCTAGGAGCCTGTACCTTCTAGGGAGCCATCATCCCTTCCTGTGGCCAACAGGGCTCCAGATTTGAACAAGGCACCATTTTCTCTTTTTCTTTCTTTTTTTTTTTTTGTGATGGAGTCTTGCTCTGTAGCCCAGGCTGGAGTGCAGCGGCGTGATCTCAACTCACTGCAACCTCGGCCTCTCAGGTCCTGGTTCAAGCAGTTCTCCTACCTCAGCCTCCCAAGTAGCTGAGATTACAGGCCCAAGCCACCATGCCCAGCTAATTTTTGTATTTTTTAGTAGAGACGGTTTCATCATGTTGGCCAATCTGATCTTGAACTCCTGACCTCGTGATCCGCCCACCTCAGCCTCCCAAAGTGCTGCAATTACAGGCGTGAAACACTGCGCCTGGCCTTCTCTTTTTCTTTAGAGACATGACCTGGCTCTGTGATCACCAGGTGGGAGTGCAGTGGCATGATCCTGCCTCACTGCGACCTTGACTTCCTGTGCTCAAGCCATGCTCTCACCTCAGCCTCCTGAGTAGCTGGGACTACAGGCACACACCACTATATCTGGCTAATTTTAAAAGTTTTTGTAGAGACAGGGTTCTCACTATGTGGCCCAGGCTGGTGTCAAACTCCTGGCTTGAAGTGATCCTCCTGCCTTGGCCTCAGAATGCTAGGATTACAGGTGTGACCTGCTATGTCCAGCCAAGGGCACCATTTTCTTTCTTTTTTAATCCCTCTCTCTCTCTCTCTCTTTTTTTTATTGAGACAGTTTCACTCTGTCAGCCTAGCTGGAGTGCAGTGGCACAATCTTGCCACAATCTGCAGTGGCAGCCTCAACCTCCTGGGCTTAAGCAATCCTCCCACTTCAGCCTCCCGAGTAGCTGGGACCACAGGTGCAGGCTACCATACCCAGCTAATTTTTGTATTTTTTTGTAGAGAGGTGGTTTTGCCATGTTCCCCAGGTTGGTCTTGAACTCCTGAGCTCAAATGATCCTCCCACTTCTGCTTCCCAAAGTGCTGGGATTTCAGGTGTTAGCCGCTGCACCCAGCCCCTAGGGCACCATTTTCTAAGAGGAAAGGGCCCAGCAGTTAGAAACCTGCACGGTTCTGTGTCATCAACTCACAGGGCAAGAACTAACCAAGAAGTTCCACACATAACTGGATTTTAGAGGTTGGGCATATGGGTAACACTCCAGTTCCTCTCCCTACACAATCCTTCTGGCTTTCCAGCCCACACGACCTGTTTTCACAATGTTTCTTCTGGGTTTTGGAGGAAGGAACTGAAGCCTCTTCTGTAATAAGCCTTGGATAGCACTGGAAGACAGGCCAGGGCCTGGAAGACCCTGTGAGGGGAGAGAACGCAGCCCCGACATGGCAAGCACCAGGCTGACTTGCAAAGAGTGCAGAGTGGGGGCTCTGGGGCCAGGCTGCCTGGGTTTGAGCCCTGGCTCTGCCTCTTATTAGCTGAATGACCCTAGGCAGGTGCCTCTGTTTCCTTAACTGTAAAATAAGAATGATGATGCTTCCACCCCACACCACCATGGTGAGGACTCAGTGAGATGCTCTTCGGGAAGAGGACCAGGCATGTGTTAGCATCTTAGTAGATACCAACTGTCTAACAAGACCAGAGGTGTTAACCCTTTATCTGAAGAACTTTAGGGGTCCATGAACCTCCTGAAATTATACACGGATTTTACATATTTCTCTGGGGGAAATTTCAGGAGGTTTGTGAGAATTTCAAAGGAATCTGTTCATGCCAAGAACAAGTGAGGTAGCGTAAGGGCTAGTTGAGGGCAGGGACCAGGTCACTCTTTTTTGGGGGGCTCTGCAGCAACCACGGCCTGACTCTGCATGCATTATGCGGTCACCGTGACTGCTTCATGGACAGAGGGCTCCATGGGTGGGCCATGGGAGAAACACACTGAGGAGGAGGACTCAGGGCCGCTCCACATCTCAGAGCCGAGGCCTCAAGTCCTTAAGATGCACAAACCGCCCCCACCTCCCTACCCTTATTTCCTGTCGTCAGAGGCCCAGAGATGCACCCACCCCACTGAAACACACTCAAGCAAGCTCTGAGTACCAGCCACTGGCCCAAGCCTCTCCCCTCCTGCCTCCCACACTCCCCAAACCTCTGCCCAAAAACCCCCAGGAGGAACTCGGCATTCAGGGAGACGAACTCGAAGTTGGGGGCCAGGCCAAACATCTCAGCAGGACGTGGTTAGTGACAAGCCTGGCCCTGGGAGCAGGTGCCCAGGAGGAGAAGTCAAAGGGCACGTGAACCTCCAGGTCAGCCGAGCACAGGAGCTGGCAGCGCGTGACTTACAGTCGCTTGATGCCTGACTCTGGCTGGGGGGATGTCCTCGGGTGGGCGATGGGTGCAGGCTGGGGTATTCGATTTTCCTCTTCCATTTCTTCACTGGAAGGAGATGAGAGGCATGAGATAAAAGAGTCAAAAGTTCCTTGAGAACTGGAACAGTGCAGAAGAGAACTGTCTGATGAGAGCTTAGTGGGGGACCCGCATCTCTATTTCCAGTTTATTCTGAAGAGTCCAGCCGAACAGAACCAGTCCCCATTTCCTGTCCTTACAAATACCTCCCTATCTCTGCACCTCTGTGGTTTCTTCTACCCAGAATATGCCTGTCACCTCTCAGCATCTCCCATATCTAAATACTAACCTATCCTTTCAGGAAGGCCCAGTTCAAATGCTGCCTCCTCCAGGAGGCCTTCCGATTTCTACTCCATCTGCCAACTAGAAGTGATCTCTCCCACTCTCCCATCTTTTTTTTTTTTTGAGACAGGGTTTCATTCTGTTGCCCAGGCTGGAGTGCAGTGGTGCAAACATAGCTCACTGCAACCTTGACCTTGAGCTGCAGTGATCCTCCTGCTTCAGCCTCCTGAGTGGCTGGGACTACAGGGTGAGCCACCATGCCTGGCTAAGTTTTTACAATTTTTGTGTAGAGATGGGGGGTCCCACTGTGTTGCCCAGGCTGGTTTTGAGCTCCTGGGTTCAACTGATCCACCTGCTTCGGCCTTGCATGCTGGGATGACAGACGTGAGCCCCGTGCCCGGCCTCTCCCATCTTTGAACATCTAGTGTATGGTCAGTAAATCTTTCAATACAAATGTGTGGTGCTGGATTTGCATCTCTTATCTTCCCCACTGGAGCAGGGACCACCTCTGGTGCATGGGTCCTTCCTTCCAGCTTTATATTCAACAGACATTTCTTGTGTACCTACTGTGTGCCAAGCTCCATTCTTGCTAGGAACTTAGCCATGGACAAGATAAAGAAGCCTTCTGGTCTCATGTGGAAACCAACAATAAAACAAGCATGAGAGTGAACAGGATAATGTAGGAGGTGAAAAGGGCCGCAAAGACAGTAACGTTGGGGCCAGGTTTCATTCATCCATTCATGCATTCATTTTAAAAAAGAGATGAGGCCGGGCGCGGTGGCTCAAGCCTGTAATCCCAGCACTTTGGGAGGCCGAGGCGGGTGGATCACGAGGTCAACAGATTGAGACCATCCTGGTCAATATTGTGAAACCCCGTCTCTACTAAAAATTACAAAGAATTAGCTGGGCACGGTGGCGCGTGCCTGTAATCCCAGCTACTCAGGAGGCTGAGGCAGGAGAATTGCCTGAACCCAGGGGGCGGAGGTTGCGGTGAGCCGAGATTGCGCCATTGCACTCCAGCCTGGGTAACAAGAGCGAAACTCCGTCTCAAAAAAAAAAAAAAAAAGAGATGAGGGCCGGGCGCAGTGGCTCACGCCTGTAATCCCAGCACTTTGGGAGGCCGAGGTGGGTGGATCACGAGGTCAAGAAATCAAAACCATCCTGGCCAACATGGTGAAACCGTCTCTACTAAAAATACAAAAATTAGCTGGGCCTGGTGGCACACACCTGTAGTCCCAGCTACTTGGGAGGCTGAGGCAGGAGAATTGCTTGAACCCGGGAGGTGGAGGTTGCAGTGAGCCGAGATTGCACCACTGCACTCCAGCCTGGCGCCTGGTGACAGAACAAGACTCTGTCTCAAAAAAAAAAAAAAAAAAAAAAAAAAAAAAGAGAGATATGAGGTCTCGCTTTGTTGCCTAGGCTAGTCTCAAATGCCTGGGCTCAAGAGTTTGCGAAAAGGGTTGTATCTAAGTACTTTAGGCCAGAGAGGGTACCCAAAAAGGACACTGACGACAGGCTTGTCTTCCAGGGAGTCAGAAGGTAACTGTCCAGAAACTCTGGCTAACCGAGGTCAGGAGCCAGCCCGGGCGTCCAGCCCCGGGCCCTCACCTCTTGTAGTAAGCCAGCTCCTCCTGCAGCAAGAACACCTTGGACTTGAGCTCGTTCCTCTCATGCAGCACGTCCCGCAGCTCCTGCAGGGTGAACCGGGGGCGGTTGGGGTCCTTGAGATCCATGGCCACCTTCTCCGCATCAGAGATGCTTTCCTCTCCAACCGGCTCTGTCTGGAGGAGGCAGAGAGATGCTGCTAATGAATTCTTGGCAGCCACCACCGGCACCCACTCTCTATCCTGAAGAAGCCTGAATTCTCCCCCTCCCAGGGCGCCAGCAGCCTGCTGAGGGTGCTATTTTCAGCACCCACAGGCGGCCCATCTCACGTTCTATACAGTTTCCCTCTGGAGGTGGAAGCCAGCGGCCACCTGTTCATTGTTCGCCTTCCCAATAGCCGAACCCACAGTCCCCGCACCTCCCCACCAGACTCGGGGTTTCAAAACAAACAACATGACAAGGCGTCCAGGCAGGAGCTGTTGCACCTCCCCTGCCACCACCCTCGCGCACCTGCTGCTTCCACCTTTCCAGGCCTCCTTTCACCTCCTTACTAAGACCACTGCTAATTTGGCCAGAGTGGTTGGAATCTCAGCCTACATACGATTCTCCATTGCTTTTTCATTTGACGGTCATTTCCATTTCCCCTATTATTACGGGGCTTCTGATGAAGCCCTTTCCTCCCCAGTGGCTTTGGGTATCTGGAGTTCAGTGGAAGCCTGGTGGGGGTGCACATTCGGCCGTTCCTCTGTGATGCGGGTGACAGATCCCAATATCATGCTAAGTCACCCATCCGAGGTCACACCCACACCCATCCTCTCACCTTCTTGCACAGCAGGGGAGCCTTTTTACAAAACCGGGGTAAAATATACATAACATAAAATGTACTATTTGAACCTTTTAGTGGACAGTTTGGCGGTGGCATTTAGTATACTCGCATGTCACACAGCCACCACCTCCATCCAGTTCCAGAACATTCTCTTCACACCGAAAGGAAAACTCCTACTTATTTTATTTTTTTCTGAGATAGTTTCACTCTGTCACCCAGGCTGGAGTGCAGTGGCATGATCTCGGCTAACTGGAACCTCCACCTCTCGGGTTCAAGATTCTCGTGACCCAACCTCAGGTAGGTGGGATGATTACAGGTGTGCGCCGTCATACCTGGCTAATTTTTTTTTCTTTTTTTGAGATGCAATCTCACTCTGTCACCCAGGCTGGAGTGCAGTGGCACAATCTCAGCTAACTGCAAACTCCACCTTCTGGGTTCAAGCCACTCTCCTGTGTCAGCCTCCCGAGTAGCTGGGATTACAGGCACCCGCCACCATGCCCAGCTACTTTTTGTATTTTTAGTAGAGACAGGGTTTCACCATATTGGCTAGGCTGGTCTTGAACTCCTGACCTCAGGTGATTTTTTTTTTTTTTTAAGATGGGTTTTCACCATGTAGGTCAGTCTGGTCTTGAACTCCTGACCTCAAGTGATCCACCCACCTTGGCCTCCAAAGTGCTTGGATTACAGTCGTGAGCCACACCATGCCCAGCTGACCTCAGGTGATCTGACCACCTCGGCCTCTCCAAGTGCACAGGCATGAGCCTGGCCCGCTTCACTCCTTTTGATGGCTGAGTCATATTCCACTGGACAGATGTGCCACACTGTGTATCCATTCTTTAGCTGATGGACATCTGGGTGGTTTCCACCCTTTGGCTATTATGAATAATGATGCTAAGAAATGTATGCGTGTGGACACCTGTTTTCAGTTTTTTTTGGGCATATACCTAGGAGGGGATCACTGGGCCACATGCTAATCCTATGTTCAACTTTTTGAGGAGTTGTCAGACGTTTCCCACAGCTGCTGCACTATTTCACATTCCCACCAGAAATGCACGAGGGTTCCAATTTTTCTACATTCTTGCCAACATCTATTTTCCTTTTTTTTTTTTTTATCACAAGGGAGCTTTTACAAGTCAGCCACTCGATCTACAGGTGGCTCACACTCTCAAGGAAATGGAGTGTCCCCAATACCCTGAGCCACCAATGTCCCATGACCAACCAGGAGTGCAGAGGTCAAGACAGAAGTAAAAAAGCTCCAGAATGGAGAAAGGGAGAGGGAAATAGACAACCTCCCCACTTCAAGAAAAACAACACGGGCCTGGCACAGTGGCTCACATTTGTAATTCTAGCACTTTGGGAGGCGGAGGCAGGAGGATCACTAGAGCCAGGAGTTTCAGACCAGCCTGGGCAACACAGTGAGACCTCATGTCTACAAAAAAGAAAAGAAAATTAGCTGGGCATGGTGGCTTGCCCCTGTAGTTCCAGTTACGTGGGAGGCTGAGGCAGGAGGATCACTTGAGCCCAGGAAGTGGAGGCTGCAGTTAGCCAAGATAGTGCCACTGCACGTAAGGCAGTGTCTCCAACAAAGTGATACCCTGTCTCAAAAAAAAGAAAAAGAAAAGAGAAGAAAAACCCTACAACAGCACTGACCAGGAGAAGGGGACCAGTTCCAACTGGGATGTGCCCTGGACAGGAGGCTGAGGGATTCCAGAAGGCAGAGCCAAGATGCTTCACACCCCAGGAGAGGCTGGTACCAGCTGTTCTGGGAAAGGACGAGTGAAAGGAGACACCACCCACTTCTGGGGCACGTCAGGTGACAGCAGACCACACAGCTTGCCCTCGCAAGCTGTCTGGGCAGCTGAGGGGCTTCTTCCTACCCAAGAACAAGGGGAGGAAATGCTGGAGGATTTAATTTCCAAAGAGTATTCTAGGCGTCTGCTGATGCCACAACTTTAGGTGGGCTGTGTCCTCAGAGGACATCTTCAACATCCGACCTCCTCCGCAGCGCCTCACGGACACTCTGTGAACCACCCCGCAGCCCTACACTCCACGTCTCTACCCAAGACCATGTACAGCAGGCGACAGACATGCGGCCGGCATTCTACCGCACCAATTCCCCTCTGCCTGGCCCAGCTTTACCAAGGAGCAACCATGGACATCTAGTTACCCAACATTTCCTGAGCGCTAACTTTGTGCCATGCCAGCTGCAGAGCTCAGCCCTGGGAACAGAGTCAGATAAATGAGGCTAAAGAGAAACTTACAGCCGGGTGCAGGGGCTCACCCCTGTAATCCCAGCACTTTAGGAGGCTGAGGTGGGCGGATCACCTGGTGTCAGGAGTTCGAGACCAGCCTGGCTAACGTGGTGAAACCCCATCTCTACTAAAAATACAAAATTAGCCAGGCTTGATGGTGCATGCCTGTAATCCCAGCTACTTGGTAGGCTGAGGCAGGGGAATCGCTTGAACCCGAGAGGTGAAGATTGCAGTGAACCAAGATCATGCCATTGCACTCCAGCCTGGGAGACAAGAGCAAAACACTGTCTCAAAAAAAAAAAAAAAAGGCCAGGTGAGGTGGCTTACACCTGTAATCCCAGCACTTGGGGAGGCTGAGGTAGGTGGATCATGAGGATCATGAGTTCAAGACCAGCCTAGCCAACATGGTGAAACCCTGTCTCTACTAATACTATGAAAAATTAGCCAGGCATGGTGGCAGGCACCTGTAATCTCAGCTACTTGGGAGGCTGAGGCAGGAGAATCTCTTGAACCTGGGAGGCGGAGGTTGCAATGAGCCCAGATGGCACCACAGCACTCCAGCCTGGGCAACAAAGCGAGACTCTGTCTCAAAAAAAAAAGGAAACGTACAAGGTGGCCTAATAAAAGACGTGCACAGACACCAAATCTAACTGGAGAGAATCAGGGAAGATGTTAATCAGATGTGGTCTCTATGCGTGGGGTCTTGACGAATGTGTAAGAGTTCACCAGGAACTCTGGGCATTAGTTGTTTAGACAAGAGGTTGCAAACTAAGCCCTTAGATCATCCCAGTGCCCGGCCCACATTTGGCCCTCACTGTGTTCTAAAACTGTTGAATTAGCTGCCAACTCTTTCAGATCAGGAAACTTCATACTGAAGTCTGGGTTTTGGGCTTCCTTTGGCAAGTGCACTGGAGGAAAGGGGCCCCACAGGGCCCGCTGGCAACGCTGGGCTGGTTCCAGGCAGCAGCCGCTCCCTTTTCCATCCCCTTTCCCCTCCTGCCTGGACCCCGCAGGCAGCAGTGGCCCCTGCTGTGGAACCAAACCCCAAGTTTCCTCTAGCCCCTTCCTCCCCAGACAACTCGGGTCCTGCCTTTCATAGCAGGCCAGGGCCTTGCTTCTCCTGTGTCTCTGGGAGGGACCATCTGACAGCCGTCCCCATGCCCTGGGGAAAGAGCAAAGGCCTTGAAGGGCACTCCCAAACCCTCACCTCTCGAGAGGCCTCTGGGCAAAGCCATCTGCTCCTCTGGGCTTTCATCTCCCCATCTAGCCCCTCGATAACCCAGAAATATCTCCAAGAGCCCTTCCCACCCGGGCACCTGGGGATTTCTGTGAACACACACTTCCAAAGCCACAGGGATTTCCTGCTCACTCCTAGTGGGTTTTCCTTGCCCAAGACATTGAAGGGCTTCCTTAGAACCTGAGTTGTTTTTTTTCTGGGGAAGGGACAGTTCATTTTTGGGGAGGGAATGGCCTGATTCTTTAGAGCCTGGGGAAATCCCAGCAAGGTATGCAAAAGTGCTTACTCTCTTTTTTTTTCATATTTATTTTATTTTTATTCTATTAGATATGGGGTCTCCCTTTGTTGCCCAGGCTGGTTTCGGACTCCCGTGCTTAAGCAATCCTCCTGCCTCAGCCTCCCAAAGTGCTGGGATTACAGGCGTGAGCCACTGTATCTGGCCCCAAAGTCCTGACTTCTTTTTTTTTTTTTCTTGTGTGATAGAGTCTCACTCTGTTGCCCAGGCTGGAATGCAGTGGCATGATCTTGGCTCACTACAACCTCCGCCTCTCACGTTCAAGCAATTCTCCTGCTTCAGCCTCCTGAGCAGCTGGGCTCATAGGCGTGCACCACCACACCCAGCTAATTTTTGTATTTTTAGCAGAGACCGGGTTTCACCATGTTGGTCAGGCTGGTTTCAAACTTCTGACCTTGTGATCCTCCTGCCTTGGCCTCCCAAAGTGCTGGGGTTACAGGCGTGAGCCCCTGTGCCCGGCCTGACTTCTAACACTATTGCCTGAAAGTGCAGGCAGAATGGCTCAGGGCTTTAGCTTCTCCAGGGGCCACCAGGCAGTGACCGCAGTGCCATGATTAGTTCAGACC